AGTGTTGTAGTCTAGGGGTCTTGAGAACCCCCAAGTTAAAAGACAAAGGGCACAGGTCTGCCTCAAAAGAATTCGACCACTCAAGCCTTCTTTCAGTCCAAGTAGTTTATGAAAACACCAGTTGTGGTGGGTGAAATTCCTAGGGAGTCTGTGCATTTGATAGGAACAGGGCTGATATTTTTATAGGGAAAAAGATTGTGGAAAGATTTGGATGGGATTAAGGAGTGAGGTGACAGAGAATGGAAGGTTCTGCTGGGACAGGGGCCACAATGAAAGGACAGTTGAAAGGATTACAGTGGGATGAGCTGATGTTTCAGGCCAGGGATCTGGGTTCAGGGGCTGGGTTCCTGAAATTCATGGGAAAATTCAAAGGGTAGGGGGGGGCAGAACCCATATTTCATCATTAGGAACCTAGCTGTGGTTGGCATATGGTTTTATTTCTACTAAGGGAGAGTCTGGACTTGACCATAGGTCTCTAAACCTTAAGTTCAATGCTTTTTCCATTATACTATATTGCTTCCTCTATGCAATCTCATTACAAGCTAGTGGTAAAACTCACATTACAGAAATTCATATCCCATTTAGCTTTTTGGAAACACATTACCTGGGAAAAGTGGGGCACACCCCTGCAAATTCTTTGCAGAACATGAGGCAAGAGAGTGTGGGAGAGCAGAAAAGTTACTCTGTTTGGAATCAGAGGAGTCTGGTTGGAATATTGACTCTACTACCCCTGCCTTTGTAGCCTTGGGCAGGTCACTGCCATCTTCTGGGTCTTAATTTCCTCATCCACAACTAAGGGAGTCGGATTCCTTGATCTCTCTGGTTCTAAAATCCCTCTATGATCCTAAGATTGTTTCGTTTGTAATTATATTAGCACCACAGATCTATTACAGTACCTTGAAGGGTTTGATTACAATTAACAAAGGATAGTCAAATATAACAGTATAAATTCTAAAGACACAAGAGATGAAAAATTTAAGAAGGCTTTGGGAAAAGTGACAAAGACTTAAGCCAAGTTCATTTCTGGAAGCTAAAATACTGCTTCCTCTTGGATTCCATTCCCAAGAATGAGCGCTAACAACTGTTCTTTGGGCTGTCTCACAGTCATTTGTGGCAACCTGAGGAAAAGCTCTGACCCCTCTGAATGAAAAGCTGAAGGTGAGTGTCTGAGTGCTGGGAAGTGTTGTAAAAGTTAATTAACATGTGTGAAATCAAAAGGGGTGTGTGGCTGAGAGCCCCTTTGGAAGTGTGAAGAACTGTGATTGCTTTTAGAGAACTCCCTTTCCCGGAGGGCAAGCAAGACAACTACTGAACTCTGGGCATTTTTCATTCTTTCACAAATCCCATTCCCCAAAAGAAGCATGGATGAATAGTCAAGGTTACTGTGTCATGACAAGAGCTGTCTTCCTCTGATATCTGGAGAGTAAGGACAGACCTTCTTTGGCTGCCTGGAACACCTTTCTTGAGGTATAATTATCTACAGACAGAAAGGATGCACTTGTTTTCAAACAAAGCTTATCCTGAGGTTTTACTGCATTAGTCCTTCTGTCCCATATGACCAGTGAATAACTTTTCAAACCGGAAAGGAAAACTTCAAGGTTTAGAGAGCATCTAGAGAAATTATCAATGTGGTAATGGACTGACCACATTGGTAATGGTAATGGCATCTATCACAATACCAATGTGGAAAAAAATTATATGTGTGTATGTATATGTATATGTCTCATAGTTAGTTCATTACAGCTTCAAAAGGGCTTTCAACCACAGGCCCCATATGATTTCACATGTATATACATACGTGTGTGCGCACACACACAGGCATAGGCTCTAGAGTGCTGTAATCTATTTATTACTCTGTAGATTACATAATAAAACCTTTATTAAGGTTGAAGAATGTGAAATAGAGCAACTAAATTAGAACAGTCAAAGAAGGTAGGTTACAGAAGAGGGTAGGTTGAATATAAGAGTATGGGACTAAAAGCTATTCCCCAATAGCTAAGTGGTAAAGGAGAAAAACATACAAACAGTTCCAAAAAGCAATCATATGATAGAATAGTTCAAGTTACTAATAATGAAAGAAATGCAAATCAAAACAATTCAAGGTTCTGCCTCACATCCAGTACATTGGCAAACATGAAAAAATCAGGAAGAGTCAATGTTGGAAGAGTTGGGGGGAAATGGTTACACTAATGCATGGCTGGAGGAGCTATGAATTAGTATGTTCATTCTAGAAAGAGATCTTCAATTATGCTAATAAAGGAACAAAAGCATCTGCAGTCTTTGACCTACAGATTTTACTGCTAGGCATATTCCCTAAGTAAGTAAATAGTAAAAAAAATCCCACACAGATCAAAACATTTATAGTAACATTTTTTATATAAACCAACAACTGCAAACAGAGTAAATGACCACAGATTGGGAATGGCTAAACATGTTGTGGTATATGAATGCAATGGAATACTATGCTATAAAACATGACGAACATGAAAAATACAGAAAAGGATGGGAAAACTCATAACAGCCTAATGTGAAGTCAAAGAAATCCAAAAAGATGCAGTTGACAGGGGCAGGAAGTGGGAGGAATGCCAAACTAACTTTTTTTGGACAGAGTAATTACTAAACCAATAGATCAGGAGAATGTCACAGTTAAGAGTTTACCTAAATTTTTAGTACATCATTTGATAAAGTATCTCATACTATTCTTATAGAAGGGAAGACAAGTTCAAAACTGGTTGAACAGCTGGACTCAGATTAGTGTTCAATGTTCAATATCAATAAGGCAGGAGGTCTCCAGTGGAGTATTCCAGAGATTGGTGCTTGACCTTATCCCATTTCGAGTGTTATCAATGACTCAGATAAAGGTATAGATGACATGAGTATCAAACTGCAGCTGATATAAATATGGGAGGGACAGCTAACACATTGGATAAGGGAGTCAGGATCCAAAAAGTCTTGACAGTCTAGAACAGAGGTGTCAAAAACATGGCCCACACCACTCCTAAGTATGGATTGAACCAGATTAAAATGTAATTGGGCCCTTTGACCCAGCAACAGCACGTCTAGGGCTTATATCCCAAAGAGATCACACAAGTGGGAAAAGGACACATATGTACAAAAATATTTATAGCAGCTCTTTTTGTGGTGGCAAAGCACTGGAAATTGAGAGGATACCCATCAACTGGGGAACAGCTGAACAAATTATGGTATATGAATGTAATGGAATACTATTGTGCTATCAGAAATGATGAACTGGCAGACTTCAGAACAACCTGGAAAGACTTGTATGGTTTGATGCTGAGTGAAGTGAGCAGAACCAGGAGTACGTTGTACCCAGTAACAGCCACGTTGTGCGATGACTAATATTGATAGACTTAACCTTTCTCAGCAATACAAGGATTTAAGACATCTCCAAAGGCCTCGTGATGGAAAATGCTATCGACCTCCAAAGAAAGAACTATGGAGTTTGAATGCAGATCAAAGCATACTATTTGCTACTTTTTTCTTCTGTTGAGTTTTGTTTGCTCTTTCTGATGGTTCCTCCTATTGGTTCTAATTCTTCCTTACAATATCACTAATGTGAAAATATGTTTAATAAGAACGTATATGTATAGCGTCTATCAGATTGCATGCCGTCTTGGGGAGGGAGGTGGAGAAAAATTTAAAACTCAAAAGCTTATGGAAGTGATAATTGTTAATCAAAATAAATTAATAAAAAATGTAATTGGGAAATATTTAAGAAAAAAAAATTTTTAAAGCCCAATAAAACACAGACACTATTAATATGTGGTTTTTCTAAGTCAATATGTGGTCCACAAGGATCCTTATATATGATTTAGTGGTCCCCATTTCCATATGAATTTGACATCCCTGGTTTAAAGTACTGGGCTAAATCTAACATAATGACATTTAATAGGCATAAATGTAAAGCTTATTGAGTAGCAGAGTGCACAGAAGATAGAGAGTTGACCTTGAAGTCAGGACTTGGATTTAAGTTCCAATTCTAACATATGTTGGCTATGTGACCTCCTTAAGAATACAGGTTGGAAAATATTTGCTAATCTGTATTGGTAGAGGAAGTTTCCTCACCCACAGTCTCCTATAATGATTAAATTATGGGTCTGGACCAACTGCACCACACCCCGACAAATTAAACTCTTATCACTTGGGTTCTGAAAATCAATGTTACAAGTACCAGACAAAGGGGGCAATGCTATCTAAGTAGGTTTTTGTTTTTTGAGCTTGAAGGGGTTTTAGAGGTTATCTAATCTGACCTTCACCTTTTAAAGAATGAGGAAATGGCCTCAGGGAAGTCTGACCAAGATAACATGCGCAGTGAACAATAGAGACAGGATTTCTAGCCAGGCCTTCTGATTCTAAAGCTACTGTTCTTTCCCAAGTACCATAATTGTTTCTCTCTATAGGTGATTCCAGAGACCTTCTAACACTGGAATTTTGCAATTCTGAGCCCCAGAAATCTGGTATTCACCTCTGACATCTCTCATGATTAATCTTCCAAGGGAAAAGATCCAAGAGCTCTCTACCCTCTGTCCCTCACCCTCCCACTAATCAGACAAGTTGTTTGTAGGTAGTCTTCAGGTAGGGGATGCTCCTGATAACTTGTCTGTGCTTTGATTCAAATAATAAATACTCTAGGATGTCGAGAATTGAGTCTTATGAAGCTGACCAATTACTTTCTGGGGAAACTAGAGTCAAGCATGGGGATCTCTGATTTCCATCAAAGCTACCTGATTTCTTCTTTCTTGAAGCTGTAGGTTTCATAATATACATTTTATGTATATATAAGCATCTATATGTATATATGTTTATGAATATATAACACAAACAATGAGCATATAGTTTCCTAAATCTCTAATCTCCAGGGAGAAAGACAGCAGGATGGAGAGGAGGGAGAAGGAGAGACAGGAAGACAGGGAGACTGAGAGGGAAGAGACAGAAAAGCGAGTCTGGCCTCTTGGGCAAGTGCAAAGATCCATCCATACCTCAAACTCCAGGTAGTGGTCTTTCAGTTTGTATTCATCAATCTCCTTAGCTTTGACTTTCTTGTCAGGTGGGTAAGAGCGATGCTCAGCCAACTCTGTGGAAATCTGCTTGAGCTTGCTTTCATGTGACTTTAGCTGTTCATCCTGCAGAAAAAACATTCAGAATTTTAGTGTTCGGAGAAAAAAAAAAGAAAAATCCAATACAGGAAAACACAAGAAAGAGACTAAAATTGTACCTGATGGATTCTCTTTTGCTCAAATTGAAAAATGACTTCAGCTCACTCCACAATCCAATATACCTTTATTTCCTACCCTCCTCCTCCCCCTCTGGGCCATGCTTGGCAGGCCTCTTTCCCCAAGTGGGCATCAAGCCACCTTTCTCTAAGCAGGCAGTTTTTCCTTTACAAGTCAAGGTGTGACCCACCTCGTAAACATCTCATCAGCATTTGATCCTCTCTGGCCCTCTTCAGCTTTCTCAAGAACCTCACTTACAGATAGATGAACAAAATGAGCAGTTAATTACCCTGCCTGAGGCCAGAGGGTCCACTCCTAAACCCACAAAAATCAGGTTCCCATTTTATCATATTACCATTTTATTTCTTTATGTCAACACCTTATGTGCTTCCAGGATTATATTGCTTTCTGTGACTACTACCACTGACAAGGGGACAGGAGAAGAACATGGATTTATTAAGAAATCACAATAGAGGTAGGGCTTCACAAATTAAAAAAAAAATTTTTTTAAAGCACACACAAAAAAGACCAGGACTTGTTATATGTATGCACTTTGGTAAATCCCTGAATAAAACACATGATTTAATCTTAATCACAGGTAGCTGGTATGGTGTATAGTACTGGGTTTGTAGTCAAGAAATTCTGGATTCAAATCCTGCCTGTTACACTTATTAGTTGTGTGATCCTGAGCAAATCACTCAATTTCTATGTGCCTCAAGAAATTCAATAGGCCTCATCTAATAAGTTCTAGATGAGACTATATAGGTAGAGGGAGTTTCCATAGTGGGAGTTCCTCAAGCTGACAAAGCACAGATTCTTTGCATATTTGCACATAATTTTACTTTGAGTCATAGAATGCTAGATATGAAAGGAAGTTTGTCCCATCCATTCCCCCCTCATTATACAGATAAGGAAAATAAGGTAAAAAGAAGTAAAAAGCACTTGACAAAAGTAACCTGTTTAGTAAGTGGTAAAACCTATATATTTGAACCCCAGACCTCCCCAAAGTGTTGTATTTTAAAATGCTGAGACAAATAGTCTTGGATGCTACTTTTGCAAAGAATCACAGAATCTTAAGAAGTTAGGAAAGGGGAGGTGGCTAGGTGGTACAGTGGATAGAGTGCTAGGCCTGGAGTCAGAAAGACGCGTGTTCAAATCTAGACTCAGACACTAGCTGTATGACCTTGGGCAAATCACTAACCTTTGTTTGCCTTAGTTTCCTCATCTGTAAAATGGAGATAGTCATAGTGCCTACCTCTCAGGATTTGCTCTGAGATCAAATGAGATAATAACTGTAAAGTGCCTAGCAGTGTCTGGCACATTGTACTTGCTACATAGAAATTAGTTATTATTACTATTATCATTATTACAAAAGAATTCCAGAGGTCAAAGACTCCAACCCATATCTAAACAAGAATCTCTTCTACAACATTCCTGTCAAGTGGTCATCTAACCTCTTTCTCCAGCGATAGAGAGCTAGCTCACTAGCTACAGAGGGAGGCCATTCCACTCCTGGATAGCTCCAATTCTTTTCAAGATTTTCCCTTTTATCAAACTCAAATCTCTCCCTCCGCAATTTCCGGTGTATCTAGTTCTGTCCTGTAGATACAAATAATATTCTCAACCCCTTGGGAGAGGAAATGTAGAACAATTATGTACAGGCAAGATAGACACAGTATAAATGTTAGGCGATCTCAGAGAGAGGGTACTAGTAAGTGTGGGAAGGGACCCAGAAAGACCTCTTCTAGGAAGTGGGATTTGAATTCAGGGAAGCCTGGACACAGATATGAAGAAAGAGTATTCCAAGCATGGGGGACAGTTAAGGAAAATGCCCAGAGAAGGAAGATGGAGATGTATGTGAGGGATAGTAAAAAGGTAGGTGTTGATATATAGTTGAGTATGTGGAGCAAAGTGGAATAATTTCTAATTATGGAAATGTAGGAAAGCAGCCAGGTTATGAAGGATTTTAAATGTCAGATTCTCGAGGTAATAGGGAGCCACTAGCAATCACTGAGCAGTGAGGTGACATAACAATTTAGAAAAGTAACTTTGGCAGCTGAGTGGAGGATGGACTGAAGAGATGTGACGCATGGAGACCGAACATCAAGTAACTATGAGATTTCAGGGGTGAGGTGATGAGAGTTTGCCCCCAAAAGGCTGCTATGTGACTGGAGAAAAGAAGATGAATACAAGAGATGGTGTAAAGGCCAGGACACTGTGGCTACAGGGGCGCTGATTGTTTTAACAGGAGAAAGGAGCAGAAGGGCAAAGTGCGCAACATTTTAGGGCAAAGCAAGATGGCTCCATGAGGCCTGGTGTTCTTAGGCAGCTCTTCCCTTGTTTTTCTGTAAGAAGGCCCACAAGGTGTTCATGGAGGCTAAGTCCTCAGGTATAGAGGACACCAAGGAGTGGGCAGAGATGACTTCGCCATAAGATCAGCCACAACTTGGTAACTTCTTCTGCTGTCTTTGGGGATACAACTCTCTCATTTCTATTTACATGGAGGATGGATACTTGCCACACTGTAGGGGTGAGACTAGATGATCTCTAGAGGAGAGGTTCTTAACCTGGAGTCTTTCTTTTTTAAAACAGCATTGCAGTATCATAGGTTTGCTTTAGAATTGTATGTGTATTATTTTATGAATTTAAAAACATTATTCTGAGAAGACAAAAGCTCCAGAATGCCAAAGAGATGACACAAAAATGTCTAAGAATCCCTGTTCTAGAGTTCCTTCCATCTCTAAGGTTAAATTACCTTGGCAGTCAGAGATTGAAGGAAACCTTTTAAAGCTTATATGTATTGGAAAGCGTAAGCTATAGGATGGACGGTAGAGAAAAATGAAAAGGGTAGAACAGGAGGAGAAGAGGCATAGGAGAGGAAGGTTGGCAAAAGTCTTCAATGAAGACTTCAATTTATAGAGATTATAGAGAAGGAAGAGGGAAGATAAAGGTCCAGGCAGAAAGAAGAAAGGGAAAAGAAAGAGATGAGTCTAGAGGAGAAGGAAAGACGACCACCAGCAGCACAGAACAGGGATCACTCATCCATGCAGACCATGCAGACCTTTGTAAAATCTCTAATAAAAAAAAAAACCCATAAAGAAAAATGGCACCACATGCACAGTCAGTGGGAGTGGGTAGTGTACAGAATAGTTCCCCTGGAAGTCAGTCTCAGCGCTTCCTTATTTAAAACATGATGTGGCACACGGTGAATCAGCAGGTTAGCAGAACCTACAGATGTTATAAACAAAAATAAGATTGTAGGAGGAATGGTGTGGGGGAGAGGGAGGGAGGAGAGAGGAGAGAAGTGAAGAGAGAAGACAGAGAGATACAAAGCTGGGAGCGGGGGGAGAGACAGAAGGGGAGAGGGAGAGAGAGGAGAAGGAGAGGGGAGGAGAGGGGAAAGAGAGACAGAAACAGAGACAGAGAGAGATAAAGGGAAAGAGAGACAGAGAAAAGAGAGAGAGAGAGAGAGAGAGAGAGAGAGAGAGCCAACACAACCAGTTCACAGGAAAAGAAAATAGAATACAAAGTGTTAACAAAACAAGATGAAAACTTATGAGTTTTTTTGGGGGGGAGGGGGGCCACAAAGCAGTGTTTTGGAGAAAAGAAATGGGAGGGAATTCCCAGTTCTTGACTCAAATTCTTCCCCTCTCTGCCTAATAAGACCACTCTGGCTCTCACTCATCTCCCTCTCCTGTAAAATACCGGTAGCATTTAGAGTCTTGACAACAGGATTTACTGTTCAATTATATTCTTCCTGAGTATCCCACATGCCTTCAATTCACATCCTCCTTACCTGAATCTTCTCTTTTATGATATAGCTCAAGCACTAGCACAAAATTTTTCCTGATTTCCCTCAATTCCTAAGGCCATCTCTCCTGGGCTACCTTGTATTTAACTACTTTGTATATATTTACACTTAATGACTTTCTAGTTATGCTGTGAATATTTACATGTGTACTCGCTGTCTGCCCTACAAGCTCCTAGTGAATAGGGATTGTTTCACTCTTTGTACTTAGTATCTCAAGGTCACACAGGTTGTAAGCATCAAACGCAGGATTTGAACCCAAGTCTTCTGACTTCAGAACTCCCTCCTATGACCATGGTAGCTATTGAGTATCTTAACTCATGTCACTAGCAGTGCCTGGAACATAGGAGTCACTTAAAAAAAATACTTATTGACTGAGTGATTGAGTAGTCAAGTGGGTTTGTCTTTCCTAATATTCTTGAGGATAGTGACCTGGACTTTTATTTCTTCTGCACATCCTCCCCCTCTCTGCCAGGGCCTAGTACAGCACTAGGCAAAGAACAGGTGCCCAATAAATACTTGTTAAATGACATGAAGAAGGGCAGCTAGGTGACAAAGTGGATATAATGTCAGGCCTGGAGTCATGAAGACCAGAGTTCAAATCCAGCTTCAGACACTTACTAGCTGCGTGACCCTGGGCAAGTCACTTGACACTGTATGCCTCAGTTCCTTATCTGTAAAATGAGCTGGAGAAGGAAAGGGGAAACTACTCTAGTCTCTTTGCCAACAGAACTCAAATGGGGTCACAAACAGTCAGACGTGGCTACAACAACTCAACAACAACAAAATGACATAAAGAGTATGAACAGAAAAGGGAGAAACAGCATGGTCAATTTATAAGTTCCTGTCCCTCTGTGCTACTTTAAAGCCAAGATATAATACTGAAGGTCATGAAAAATTATGCAACAGCATATAAGCATCCTGAGGACAGGGATACACACACACACACACACACACACACATATGCATTTGCATTTATATCCTGAGAACAATGCCTTATACACAGGAATTTATTGTGATGAATAATAATAATTTAAAAAACAAACCTTAGAGCCTTGCTGGAATATGATACTACAATAAACCCATCCAGAACCTATTTTTC